CGGGCTCAGCGCTGGGCGTGGAGCCTGCTTAAGATTCTCTTCCTCTGCTCCCCCACGCCCCACTTGCATGCTCTCTCTTAAAAAAAAAAAAAAAAGAAAGAAATCTTCTCCTTTATTAGTAGTAATTGTTAATGTTTATTGAATGTTTACTATGTGTCAAATATTGCTCCATATATATTAACTTATTTCATCCTCACAGCTACCCTATTTGGTAAGTACTATTGTCAATCTCATCTTACAGATGGGGAAACTGAGACACAGGCAGGTTTAGTAACTTTCCCAAGATCACATGCTCAGTAAGCAGCATAGACAGGATTCAAATCCAAGCAGTTCAGCACCAGAACCTGCGCACTTAACAATTTGTTTGTTGGTTGGGTACAGCTATTTGAAGGGAGGAGGGAGGAAGGGGCCTGGAGGAGCTAAGTAACCCCTGGAAGCTTCTGGAATGAATATGTTTCGGAACCATTCACCTTGCAGCTAAGGAGGCGTGGATACAAGCCACCTGTGTTTTATAAAGGATTACCAGGCGGGAAACCTGTGGTGGCTTTCCTTCATGCCATTACAATAGAGGACATGGATGAGCCTGCAGAGGCATCTTGATTTGAGAAAAGCACTTGATTGGATCTCATTAAATTTTAATCATAAACTGAATTCAAAATAAATTGAAAACTGGTTGACAGAGCACAAACAAAGGGTGATGATAAATGGTGATGCATCTAGAGAAGGGATATCTTCCAGGGGACGCCTCTGAGGCAAGGACGGATGGGATTTAATGAAGGTGTTATGTCCCTGGAAGAAGACAAATAGCATAGCAAGAAACAGAGGAAGGGCAGAAGTGAGCAGCCTGAGTAATTAATAAACCACATTACCAGCTCCTAAATAATCAGGCTTGCTGTTCACCAACTGCTTGGATTTTTTTAAAAAGAATTCTTTGGGTCAACAACAGGGTTGAAGAGTCCTAGAGACATACAACATGAATATTTCAGGTGGACATAATAAATAAATATATAAATTTACAGTTAGAAAGATCCTCAGATCCAATTTGGATCAGATAGTTTCAATTACAGATTCTCAAGCTCTTCATTCCTCAGGGAATAATTTTTAAAAAAAAATAAATTAAAAGTCTAAAAGTCACGTATTAAAAAAAATCTTTAAACTCATTAATGTTCTTTGTTTACTGCCCAAATGCATGCAAACTTTCACAATGTCGGTTTGCTCAGTGGAAGCTGGTTTTGAGTGTACTGTTTGGCTCCAGTTCAAATTCCAGTTAACAAATACTTCCAAGTTTACTTGCAGGATTTCCCAGACAGAGAAGTTCTTCCATTTGGTTTGCCAGAGGACTGGAAGTAGTGGTGAGCCCAAGAGACAAGGGAGCATTTACTGGCCCTTATTCATCCCCTGCACACTACGACTCACATCAGGCCGAAGGCAGCACAGCACGACCTGACCTAATTTGAAGTTCGCTCTGGAACTCCTCTGAGTCGCTAAGCAAGGAGACCATGGACTAATGGGAACGGACTGATTCTGCTCTGTAGTGAGCTGGGAATAAATATTTGGAGAACAACCTCAAACCAGCCCAGGTTTTCGTTCGTTTTGTTTCAGATAAGGTTTCTCTAAGCATGTATCTATGATTCTTAATTTCAGTCCAAGCCCCAGAGTGAAGGAGAAGGGGCAGAAAGCAAAAATCAGGAGAGAAAAAAGAAGAGCTATTAAGTAAGAAAGGAGAATGGAAGAGGAAAGACAACAAGGAAAGTGGGGAAACCTTGAAGGACATCTTTAAAAATGTGCCCTTTATTGGTGTAGGAGAGAGATTTATTTAAATTGTGATTTTTATGTATTACTGGGTATGAGAAGGGGCAGCTGGAAGGGAAGGGAAAGAATGAATACAGGTGAAAGGTAAGAGTGTTATAGGTCAGCTGGTGGGCCTGGAAGAGCCTAGACAGACAGCACAGAGGAGGAAGACTGATCAGAGACGGGAGGGAGGCCCAGTGACCCTGGGAGGGGAAGAAGGAAAAACACTGGAACCCCCCAGAGCAGGAAAACAACGAGGCAGAAAAGGGCCAAGTTTCCCTCATCGCGGAGGGACCTGCCAAGACCCCAGCCAGCCTCGGTCTTCAGGGTGGAAGGAAGGGGGACACGCGGGCTGGGGGAGGACCCGGCAGTTCCATCACCCCCAAATGGCTCCATTTTAGCTGCCTCATCAGGGAACCAAGCCAAACGGGCACAGCTCTACGGTGTCCCCTGGTAGACGAAAGGACCCCCCACCCCAAGCTCAGCCAGGTTACAACTCGCGGCACGCCCCCCCACGGTGTCTATACACGCGCGTCCGCACGCGCCCACAAACGCACGCGCAGAGCGACGCTCGCGGCCAGGCACTGAAGCGCATGTGGGCTAGTAAAGGCCTGCTGGTGATGGGATGCAAAGAATGTCGGGGGGAGAAGGGACAGCTGGGGTTTCATGAACTAAAAATATCTTGGTGACAACGCTCTGAGAAGAAACCGGAGAGGCCCAGGGGGAGAGCTCCTTGATTCCAATCCTCAGATGCTTTCTCACGGAAGGACGGCAAGATTGTTTTGATAAGGAAATGTGATCAAACATTAGGGGTCATTTCATTGGATCTGAAAGGAATTTAAAGTTTAATGTGCTTCATCTGTGCCCCTCCCCCCCCCCAACAGTTGCCCGCAATTCTTACATGTTTTTATGGGCTAATCTAAAATTGCCTGCCGTAGAAAAATGGTTGAATTCAGGGTATTTCTGAGCTTTCGATTCTGTGCTGTGTAAAACAGATTTCATTTAGACAAATTGCCTACATAATCTGTCTTCTGCAAGCCTGTTAAAGAATGCCTGCAAAGATGACTGCCTTCTCCTCCTGTTTTCAGAGCCATTTGAAAGTCACTAACTCTTTAGTCCTGGGAGAAGCAGGCTTAAATGTTTTCTGTCTTTGCACCCTCCAAAAGTGAGTATCCCCGAGTTAGGAGTCTTATCCCCGACCTGCTGGTTCATTGCCCTGACTTCACTCCTAGGCAGCCCACCCCACACAGCGAGCAGAGCAGTCACGGCTCCATTTCGTGACCTCCATCATGAAATGACTTGGAGCTGCAACGCCAGATGAAGAATGACTGTGGGTGGTCTTTCTGGGTAAAAGCTAGGCTGGCAGCCCAGCAGCAGTGAGCCTCGTTTCAGATAATGGTGCTTCGTTATTTGAAAATAGAATGGGTAACTCATCACAGTTGAAACATCTTGAAATTTCTGTCCTCTCATCCCGGGGTGGGGGCGGCGGGGGGAGGAGGGGAGAGAAAGCCATGTAAGAATGTGACAATGACTATACCAGGGCCTTTCCACAGAAACAGTTTGGCAATACTTAAAGCCCTGAGTCAGCCCGTCCCAGTCAGCCAGGGCCTGTTGGAGCTGTACTGGCAAAAAATAATTGCCCCAAAGAAATAATAATAATAATAATAAAGTAGTGGTTTGGAAAAGGTTAAGGATTCTGTGTCTGCCATCTGACGTGTCCAATCACAGCCATCACCCTTACATGGTATCAGGATGTGCTGCATGGCTTCCTTTCACCTCCCACTGAAGGCCCCCCCCACCCAGTGATTGGTCTAGCCCAGGAGTGGTTTTCAGCTCCAGCTAAGTCAGTAAGGCAACCTTCCAGGCTGGTCTGCCAGTTCTCTGGCCTGCCTTGACTTTGTGGGCAAGTTCACAGGACAGTTCTTCCTGGGGAACCCAAATGGGACATGAACTAATTCAAGAAACCCCCTGTTTTATGTAGCAAGAGCCAATAAAAACGCCTAAATTCCGGGCAGCCCTCACACAGAGCCACGTGGCCTCCTAGCCACCCCCAGTCTTTGGCCTTGAAAGCTGCTTTTTACCTTGTGCCTTGAGAGCAGGTGAGTGAAACAAATCAAAGCAGCTTATATGGAAAGAGCTTGAACACCTATGAAGCGTTTGATACTATATGGGATGCTAGGGGGTAGAGAAGGATTAAGAAACAAAATCTTTTTCCTCAAGGAACTGTCTAGTAGCAGGAGGTAAAATTAATATATTTGAATAGTCAGTAAACAAAACAAATCTTCCAAGACCACCCAGTACGGCTTGCCCTCTGGGACTCCCATTATTTTGTTAGAAGGGAATTTAGACAAAATCATGTTAGTTCATCTCCCACACACATTTTATTGATGAAGAAATCCAGGCCTAGGGAAACCAAAGTGAATTGCCTAAGTCACAGAGCCAGCAAGGAGTGGAGTGAGGACTTGAAACCAAGTTTCTTGTCCTCTTTTTTATTATTTATTTGGCCTTTCCCCCATCCATTTAAAAAAAAAAAATTCCCCTATTCTAAGAGATCATCTTGAACTTGAAAGTCACATGAAGCTTGATTAGCTGCTGAGATCAATAGCGTTTCTCCCCCGGTTTTCGTTGCCAGTAAATGTCGGGGCTGCTTGGGAGGGGCGGAGGGGCTGTAGGGGAGCCGGCCCGGCACAGAGCGGAGCTGAACTTCCTGGCCCAAGAATGTGGGGTTGATCTTTTTCCTGCATGAGACAAGGATCAAGAAAACTGGGAGTTTTCCTTCCATCTTTGAAACTGACGTGTCCCGGGGCTGGAAGCCAATTACTTAATTTTTGCCATCCCGGGCTCCCTCCTTGGAGAAGTGGGGCTGGATTCTTCACCAAAACTTGTGGGGACACTAAGTACTCAAACAAATGGTTCCCAGGCAGCTCCGAAAACAACACCCATGTGCGCACCGTCCATTCCTCGAAGAGTTAATCTCACTCAGCTCGCCTGTCTGAAATACTAAACCACCGGCACTTTCTCGCCGCCAGAAACTTTTAAGTGTCATTTTCTCAGCCCAAGCGGGTGCAGGAACAAGTTAAGGGGGGGGGGGGTGGAAGGTGGGAGGAAAGGAAGGCAGAATGTTTCAGTGAAGGAGAAAACAGTGTTTGGGAAAATGGGTCAGTGGCTAAAAAGTAAGGCCAGGCAGGCGACAGCTCTGAACAACTTACCTTAGCACCACCAAGCACAGACAGACCGGCCGACAGGGTGGTCGTGCTCTCTCCTTCTCACACTGCACCTTGGGTGGCTCCCGCCTCCCTCCTCCCTGTCCAGGCCCAGGTAAGCCGTAGAACAGGCTCTGAAGCAGGAAGTGGAAGTTGTATGCAAATTTCTACGGAGGCTAGGAAGCCTCCGCTGAAAAATCTCCCTGTGGGCAGTGAATCAACAGCCGAGAAGTCACTTTATTTCTTAAAACAGAAACCTCCTTCATTCCGTAGAAAAGGCCACTGACTGACCAATTAGGGTGCATTTTTTGTTTCCACCACCCAGCTAAGTAACTGTGGAGGAATGTCCACACTGCCCGGATCTCAGGGCTACCGCATGCCCTAACCGTAGCCGGAGAGGGTGCCTGGGGAGGGGATTGAACTTGGGTGTTAAGATTGGTTATTCATTAGCAGCTCCAAAGGAGGAGATTGGGGGCAGATAGCGGGGTGGAATATGAGGCAAGAACTATCTGTAGCTGCTTAAAACATCAGCATTTGTTGCCCTTCACGGTGAGGGAGGACTGGCTGCCCACCCCATGTGAGCGTGTGCACACACGCGTGCACACACACACACACCCTGCCCATCAACAGACACGAAAAAAGTGACTCCTTTTAAGAAAACACACACACGCACACATGCACACTCCCATGCACATGCACACACGCACTGTTCTCCCTCTGGCTGCATTTTTCATGACCTCAAGTTTATTTCTTCTCCTTCCTTCTGCTTGTTTAATCAGTAGCCTACAGAAGTTACGGTCGAAGGAGACACTGGCGACAGGATGACCAGGGCAGCAGAGTGGGATGGGAGCTGTGGCCTCTAGAGCTCTGGAGTCAGAGGGATGTGGGGGTGAACTCAGTGATGGCACCGGCCGGCTGGGCACCACAGCTAGATGCCTGGGCAGGCACATTGTGCTTCAGGGGCTGGCCTTGCCTACCCATTGAGAGGCCCAAGGGTCAGCCCGTGCAGCTAGCCATCTCTCCACCTTTGTGCAGGGGACAGACCCTGGAGCATCCCCATCCAGACTGCCAGGTTCTGCTCAAGTAGGTCCCATGAAGTGGGTTGCTCTGCATTCTGCAAGCAGAGGAAACACGGATTGTTTTTAAAATAACATATACAGGTTGTATATGTTTTGGTATATCCTTACAATGGAATACTATGCAGCTGTGAAAACTCATAAATATGTATGTATGTATTTCTACATTCTAACATGGAAAAGTGGCTCTGGGATATTATTAATTGAGATATCTGATCTCATTTTTGCCCATATATATGCCAGATAAACACATATACATACATATATAGATTCATGTTTGTTCACTGCTGGTTGGCACCTGACACACTGCCCAGAACATAGTAGGCAATCATTCTCTATCTGTCAAATGAAGAAATCATAAATGTCTGGAAAAATGCATGCAAACTGTTAAGTGGTTGTCACCTCCAGGGGATGAGATTGAGGGGAACGAGTGAGAATGGAGGACTTTTACACTATTTACACATATGAGCTGTTTGAGTCTTTTTTCCACAAGCATATTTTTTTAAAAATAGTATTTATTACCTTGGCCTTGAACTTTCTGCCTCAAAATTATTATTATAATAATAATCTTTTTTAGTTTAGGGAAAAATAGTTTTCTCTGTACAGCAGCTAGTCCCAGGATACTTGGAGAACAGAGAAGAAAAGAATGTCAAGGGGAGGAAATAAGGAGAGCCAAGAAAAGGGGCGGGGTGAAAATCATTTTCATTTCTCTTCGATCCCTTATACGGCTTGGGAAAAGCCTGGAAGATGCTTCTGTCAAGTGCTACCTTTGGAATACAACCCATCAGGAAGAACTGGGAGAATCTTCTTTTCCATTTCTCCTCCCAACTGTTTCCCCAGATGGGAGGCCTGAGGAAGGAAGATAACCAGGTACTAACCAGGTGCTGTAGGAAGATAACCAGGCGCTAAAGTGCTGCTTTTAATAGCTGTTAGCTGGGCCTTCCTCCTGTCTCCATTTATCCTGAACAGAAGGGCAGGCACCTGGAGGAACAGGTTAATGGTTCCTACCTAGGGCCTTTGCTGGGGCCCTTATTGAAAGCAGCCTGAGGATGTAAACTGTTTAGAGAGGGTATTCTGAACAGGAGAGAGTCTTGTCTGAATGTGCCACAGGCAGCTACAGGGAAATGTGGACGCAGGGGGAATGTCAGGGAGTCTGGGAAATGAGCACCTCTGTTCCCTAGGAGTCCCCACTGGTGTTTTCAGACTAACGCATACACCCTTTTAGCTGCCATCACGGAGAACCTACCATACGCTACCTGTCAGCTCCTTTAACCCTCCAGCAGTCCCGAGAAAGCCATTTACTGTCATTCCCACTTGGCTTTTGGGAATCCAAGGCTCAGAGACATTGAGTAACTTCTCCATGTTTACACAGCTAGTCTATGGAAAAGGATTCCAGAACTGTCTCACCTCCGGGGGGATGTTACCTCTTGTCCCTTCTTGTCATGTTGTGCTCTGTCCTTCCTACATGCTCAGGTGCACACAGGTAACTTCCTTTGCATGACTCTTGACAGCACTCAAGAAGGCAAAGAGCTGTAGACAATAAAAGGGTAGCGCTGAGACTGCCAGTCACAGGGTGCCGCGGGTGTGTATACGGGGCTAGCTGCTGTAGACATAATAGGTAGAGCAGCCAAGATGGGGGTCAGCTCTCTCCCCCACAGTTGGAAGTCTAGGAGGGGAGGATTTGTGTTTGCCAGCTTCTAGAGCGGCTCAATATTCTTGCAAAAGACATCCTTAGATGAAAGTCAGCTCTTCCCACCTCTGTAAACCAAACCAAACAAAGCCATTTGGACCTGATGTTCAGAAACTCTCCATTCTGCAGTATTAATCCATGAAAAGAAAGGAAAAAGGGAAAGACTCATTCCTTGGAGGAGCCTTGATTTTCCATTTTTAAATGGTGTTATTTCAAACGCTGAAAGGGCAGAGTGAAACTATGGCACTCCAGAAGGAATTTCCCTGAGAAGGGCCCTTGTTCAGAGGGTCCCCTGGCTCACACACTGCTGGCTGACAGCTCTGTGGCATGGCTGAGACAATGGCAGGACGAGAAGAAACACCCAGGCTCCCAGGGTCTAGTCCAGCTCTTCTGGGCATTCCAGTCCCCAAACCTTTAGTGAGTGCTTGCCTTACTCCAGACACACACTAGGTGCTAGGCATGCAAACTGAAAGATCCTCAACGTGTTCTTGTGTGTCTTTCAGAAGCAAAAACTGTGTAAGTTACATTTCATAGTTAGGATGGTTATAAGGAAGAGAAGGATAAGGAGGAGGAGGAGGAGAAGAGAAATTAAGGTTGGTGAGGATGTGGAGCAAAGGGAACCCTTGTGCACCGTTGGTGGGAATGTTAAGTGGTGCAGCCACTGTGGAAAGCAATATGGCGGTTCCTCAAACAAAAGAAAAATACAATTGCCATATGATCTAGCAATTCCATTTCTGGGTATATACTCTAAAGAATTTTTTTAATACCCGAAAGAATTAAAAACGGGATCTCGAAGAGATATTTGTACATCTATGTTCATAACAGCATTATTCACAATAGCCAAAAGGTGGAAACAACACAACGGTCCATCAGTGGACGAGTGGATAAGCAAAGTGTGATCGATCCATACAGTGGAATACTATTCAGCCTTAAAAAGGAAGGAGATTCTGACATGTGCTACAAACAGGGCTGTACCTGGAAGACATTATGGTGACATAAGCCAGTCATAAAAGGACAAATACTATGTAATTCCACTTACATAAGCTACCTAGAATAGTCAGATCCATAGGGACAGAAATTAGAATGGTGGTTGCTAGGGGCAGATCAGAGGGAGGAATGGGGAATCATTGTTTCATGCATATAGACTTCCAGTTTTGCAAGATGAAAAGAGTTCTAGAGATGGATGGCGGGGATGGTTGCGCCGAATGTGAATGTGCGAAATGCCACTGAACTGTACATTTAAAAATGGCTAAGATTGATAAATGTTATCTTATATGCATTTCACCACAATAAAATATAAAATAAATAAAATAAAAATCCCCAAAACAGTTGTGCACAATGGGTTTTTTTCACCTCATTTTCCAGGTGAGGAAAGGAAGGTGCAGAGAAGTTAAGTAGCTTTCGAGGGCTACACAGCCGGGTTTGAAGGCAGAGCGAACTCCCGAAGAAAGCCACGCTGCCCCCCTCCACCGAGCTGTCTGGTACCTGCGGGGGGGCCAAGGATGCCCCACATAGGCTGAAGCCACACAGATTCATCTCCTCTCTGTGCCCTTTTCTTTCTCTAGACTACCCTTCTTCTAACACTGCCTTTCCTAGTGTCCTTATTCTCTCCTCTGCCTTCCCCTCATCAAAAGGTGCTCTCGGGAAAAAAAACCTGAGCGCTCATTTATACCTAAGTTACATGGTGTGAATTTAAATCAGTATGCCACCTCTCTGAGGGGTGCTTGCATTTTAAGCCTCATCACCCTCTATGAAATGAAAACCTTTGTTCCATATTAAAGGAATTTCAGGCATCAGGGAGCAGGCGGGGAGAATCTGGAGGGTGGTGTTGGCAGGCAGGGCAACCCGAACCCAAAGAAATGCATTCAATGGTGGAAACTTTAGGCACACAGTTAGAAGGGAGATCTATTTTATTTATTTATTTATTTATTTATTTATTTATTTATATTCTTATGTTAATCCCCATACATTACATCATTAGTTTTAGATGAAGTGTTCCATGATTCATTGTTTGTGCATAACACCCAGTGCTCCATGCAAAAAGGGAGATCTATTTTATGGGCAGACTGATCTTTCAGGGCTCCACCAAGATGTGAGGTGTGGACGCAAGGGAGTTAGGTGGACATTTCATGTTAAACCCTCCCCTTCGAGCAGACTTGGTTGCCTGACTGCCAGACCCTAGTCTTGCTTGGCCTCAGAACTGTGCACATCCTCAAGAGAATCTAGAGGGTTGATTTCCTCAGGGCATCATTGGCCTGACAGTTCTCAATGCCTCTTTTCTTGTTATAGCATGAAATTCTCGTCTCAAGCAGCTAGGTGCAGTAGTTGGAGATCTCTGGCCAAAGAATCTGAGCATTCACTCCTTTAGTGTCGAGAATGCACTTTACGCACACATTAACATAGTACGTTGTATAGAATCGAAGGCAAATCATGTGGATGCAAAAAGCCTGTCTTCTGGGCACTTACAACCTAAGACTGGGAATTTCCCAGGGAGTGGAACAGACATTATACCAATAGCGTCCAGGTTAAGAGCCTGGGCTCTGAGTCAGGCATCTGGTTTGGGTCCCTATTCCTCCGCCTGCCAGTTGTGTGACCTTAGGGAAGTTTCGTAACT